GAACCCATTGCTACACTGGGGAAACCACAGGATCATCAGGGGGTTCCATATGTGACCAGCCCCTCAAACAACTGGAAGGCACCTGGATGCCCTGATTCGACAGCTGCTTGCAGGCGACCACATTCAAGCTCAGCTCACGCAGAGTTGAGGGCAAGCTGGAGCTCAGCTGCATCAAAACATGGTCGGACAGAACCTCGGATGACCTAGCAGGGCGGACTTTTACACCAGGCAACTGTTTCTCAGCACACGTGAACTGAAGTCTCTCCGAAAAAAATCAGGCCTGAATGACAAATCAATTCTAGCGATGTGGGAGTATGAAATGACCCGGACGTGGCTTTCAAGCGGTAGCCCTGCTTCAAGTGCCAACTTGAATGTTGCAAGGGCAAAACGCGCATGCAGCGTGGTGTTCACAAAGTCATAGCACTCGTGCTCCAGCGGCGGAGTCTGATTCAGATCCTCCGCGCCAACGATTGCGTTGAGGATGTGGATTCGATCCATGTCCACGCTCGCCTTCTGGGCTTGAAACCGAGAGAATCCCCTCATGGCTGTTCCCCCTGTCCCGAGGAAGCAAAGCATGCGAAAAGGGTTTAGGGTTGGGTAGTATTTTATTTGGGGATACTATGGTACCCAATATTACCCCAATAATGGAGAATCAAATGGAAAAGAAAATGGAAAATGAAATGGAAACTGGGATTATATGGCAGACTAGTTACAAGGTAACTCCAAGTAGATGGAGCACAAGGATCAAAGGCTTCATGTGTCCTAGCCGCTTAGACCTTAGACCTGAGAAGAACTCTGTAGTTCTCACCTCCGCCAGCTCCACTCGAGCTTGCATCGCAGCCTGAGCCAGGTTTACAGGAAAGTTTTTCTCTCTGGTCCACTTCCGATCCTCCCACCACCAGCTGGCTCCCCTCATGTCTCCTTCTGTGATGCCGTCTGTGATGCCCCGAGGTTGATGTGCATGGAATGTGTAAATGTCAAACAAGTGGGAGGCTGATTTGGCCTTCTCCAGGGTTACAAACATCTCATAATTGCACCATACCCGTGAGTAGGCTATTGCGGACCCATCCAAAATCGACAGCGTCCCTTCAGCAACATCCAGAGCGCGGCGAAAAGAGGACTCAGCTGGGTTCGCCACCAGATCAGAGGCCAGATCCCATTGGTTGTTTGCATATGCGCAAACCCAATAAGCCGCTTTGATCCCTAAACGCCTTTGCTCAGAATGCTTCACCACACAGGTGACAAATTGAAAGACTGGCTCGCCCCACCAGTGTGAAGTGAACCAACGGGTAGGCTGCGGCCCAGTTGCCACCAACTCCACATAAGAGCAACGCCGGGCAGCTGTTGCAGGCTTCACTAGCCAGGCCACCAAATCATAGAGGTTCACAGACTTGGCCTTCAACTTCACAGGCTTCAAAGCCTGGGGGCTTGTTGATACCCACTTCTCTTCCTTGACCTTGGTCTCAACGTTGCGCACGAGATCTTGCAGCTGCTGGATCGTTATGGCGCGATTCTCCACTTCATGGATTATGCAGCCACCGCCCAGCAGCTCTGTGTGAACCTCCTCCAGCTTCGGGTTTATCAACTCTTTTGGCTGCGCGACGTCGTTGTTCCTGGCTCCACTGGCTCCACTGCCCATACTTTTAGGATCTGCAACAGCCCGGCATTGGGCTGAGTGGTTCTGCGGAACCCCCAGACTTAGGATGCAGCTGCGGCAAAAGCTGCAGCGCAAAATTGCAACGGATATGCAAATTTGAAGCTGCATGAATTTGAACAGCTCATGTGGAAGAGGTTACCTGGCTGCACCCAGTCCCACAACACCAAAATCGCAGCCAGCAGCAAGAAAGGATCTTTGACCGAGCAATACTGCGTCCCCTGCACCTTTGCAACCCACCGGCCTCCATCACATCCAATCCAGCCGAGGGTCGTCGGCATCCCAGCGTGCTCACAACATGAAACGCGATTTCGGAAGTCAAGTAGATTTCAGGGTGGGGATGTAGGCAAGGGCCCTTTTAAGAACAAGTTTTGCCATTTCATGGGCGTCAGCACAATGTACAGATGTTGCCAAGGAACTTGTAGCCCCTGAACCCTCAACCTTAAACCCTAGAAAGAAGCTTCCATTTTCTTGCACATTCCCCCACTCCACCTCTAAATCATCTAAAATCGCAAAAGAATTCTTGGCTGCCGGATGTGCGCCTTGCAGCTTGGCCGAAATCCGAAAACAGTCCCTATCATCGGATGCCGCACTGGCTTTGACATTTTTTTCGGGGATAGCACAAGAAATGAGTTGGAAAACTTTTCGCTTCTCGGCATGATGCTGCTGTACTGGAAGCATTATTGGTCACCCATCTGGCGAAGATAACTTGGATCTGACGTTTTTCAGCTCAGGGGCTGTTGCCAGAAGACCCATGCATGACGAATACGAGATACTGCTCTAACAGCGCGTGCAACTCAAACGTAATGCGAAGCACTCGGGCTTTGCAATCTGATTCCCGGTGCCTGACGATGAGCTGCGAAGGCCTGAGCTGCGGTCAGCGAAGGTAGTCTGACCGCAACATCAACTTTGACTTTGGAACTTTAAGTGCAAGCATGCAAGTTGCTCAGGTCACGGAAAAGCTACTTCTCATGTTGCACTGCAAGCAAGAATCGTGGCATGGTCTCCTGCTCATTTTTTTCGTGCGGCTCATATTCAAGTCTCCAGTCCAGCGTTTGTCTACACTTGGCCCTGTGACATACCAGCTGCCGCACGAGATGCTCTGCTTAACGTCAAAAATCAACTACCTACTGGTGCTGCCGCAAGCCAGCAGGCATTTTGATCGAAACTTTCCGGCAGCCGGTGTAGTCATTAGCTTGTTGCGAATTGAAGGCAGGGATGCTCGTTTGGTTCTGCAGCAAGGAAAGCCCCCTGACCTATTGCACCTCAAGTTGATATGATCCGTCAAGCTTAACGAGAACAAGAAATCCTCGCAACCACTGTTGCTCTTGACTCAACGGAGACATCCCTGAAACGACATCGTGTGTGTCATCAGCCCAATGCACTGCCCACTTAAGTGCGCTGTGCCATAGATGCCGGGGCAAGGGAAGCAAGAACTCGGGGATGTGGTCAACAATCAGTTCGCGGGTTTGCACCCTCCACCACCGCAGCCAGCTTGATAGATACAATTTCCAAACCAGCAAAGCAGCCGCTTGCAGCATTTGTTGTCATGGCTGCTGCAAGCAATACACTTGTTCTCCTGGGTGTTGGTGGATGAAACACCCAGGGCCTCTGATAGTGGCCAGCAATTGCAGCAGCTGTCAGTCAAGCCAGCTTTGTTCACCCCGCAGCCCTTGAAATAGCTGCCAGAGCCCACGTCGCTCTCAAACTCTACAATCTTGGCATTGGGATTCTTGCAGGTCAAGTCATCGGAAGTGTCGATCTCAATGTTGGTCGGCTGTTGCAGGTCACACTTGCCTGCGTTCTCTTTGCCAAGGCACTCTTCCGGACCCGCAAAACCTGCAGGACATTCCCAGCTGCGAGCGTATGTGCACAAAGTGCCCAGGACGAGTGCTGCCAGCGGCGACATCGGAGCGCTACAGTGATGCAAACTCTGCTATGTGGCACTCGAAGAGTTGAGGCGGGAACGGCTGCAGCGGAGTACGCTTCTCTCAGAGTAATATCTGGATCACAAGAAAAAATTGCGTCACACATGCTCCATCCTCCCACAACATTGAGATTGTGCCATGCTTCAGGCTGCTTCAGGAGTGGGAATGTAGGGCATTTGGGGTAACGGATGGTTGTGGGAAAAGATTGCCGAGGGTATCACAATCCGCTGATCATTCGCTCCAGAATACCAGGTGCTCTGTGCCACTCTGGGTCCGAAACATCTGACCCAAGCAGAAAGCCAGATAAAAACGTGGTTTTCCAAAACTTGGAGGCTCCCTTCTCAATATCCGTAAAGAAGAACAAGCAGTCGACATGATGTGGGCATACTACTACTGGGTTGCTGTTAAGGAACTTAAATTAAGTTACTATATTGGGGAAACCCTATTATTTACTATATATACCCATTATGGTAAGTTAATTTAGGTTCCTTAACAGCAACCCAGACTATGTAATCTGCTGAGGCTTCAGGCCAGCGGTCGCTACCGGGCAGGGCAAAGTCTGTCTTTCCTAAGTCCAGGCAAAGGACACAGCTCCATGAGGATGCAGCTAGACCTTTGTATGGGAGGCCATTACCAGAATGAGGGAAAAAGCATTTCTGGGGATTGTGATGGAGTCTGTGTGACATTCTGAAGGCTGAAGGAGGAAGATGCCAAATGATTGCAGGAAAGGAGTACTGCCCTCTACGATGCTCCAGTGGAGTATCATGGCTCACGACGGTAATAGACCAACAAATGGTCTTGCATGAGCCAAATCACAGCCAACAAAGGAACAAACCGTTGCACACGCTGAGATTCTATACGCCATTATACTATAGTAGTTTCTTTTCCATTATCCCAATATAATACCATATTATACCCCATTATACTATAGTAGTTTCCATTTTCTTTTCCATTATCCCTATGGGTAGCATGTGAGCTATAGTCTAAACTCCTAGTCCTAGTATCCCCCTAATAACCCCTATAGTAGTCCCATATATAATCCACTATATAATCCCCCTTTAAGGAGTTTAGACTATAGCTCATGTTTTGACTGGCACTTGCTCTGCTGACTGACAGCTTTCGACGAGGCCATGCCTCTGCTCTCACCAAGGCCCTTGCCCTGCTAGCACTGGTCAAGACAAGGCTATATTGGGGTTATATAGGGATTATATAATGGGGATAATGGAAAAAATGGAAGCAACTATGGTATAGGGTTTAGGGTTTAGGGTTTTGGGTTTTGGGTCTTTAAACTTGCTTATGTGCAGAATGCACAAACCATAAATCACACGTTCCCCCATCCTGCTCGAAGCAACTACTCATGTAAGCATTGGTGTTTATTCTACAAAAGGATTTATGACAAAGCGTCCTCAACCTTTTCCATGTTCTGCAAAGTTCTGCTTCCTTCCGCGAACCTTTTCGCTTCCACGACATATCCCGTACTCATGGAATACTTTCGCGGCACCTTCCACGACCCTTCCAAGAAGCCATCGTGTCCTTCTTCGGCCGCAGTCCGGCGCACGTTTTAGAGATTGATCTTGAAACTTTGCGTTGCCAACAAATTAACCGTGCTGCTCTTGTCGCGCATGTCCAAGATTTGGGCCCGTATGGGGTGCGATTGGAGGACCATATGCTGTCTGATGCCCTTGATCGTTGCAAGGTAATGGCTCAGTATGGCTAAGTTTGGATGACAGGACTGCAATTGTCTTGACCAACCTCTGCACCCAAGGTGCAGGCTGTGGGGCGCACCCTTTGTCACACGATTTTGTGACACTTTCAGAGGCTCAGAAAGCTAGGCAGAAGCCCGTCTGCTTTTGCCTTCTGCCACAGCTCCAGTGGCACTTCAACGTCGCAAAGCCTGCAGGACTCCAACATCTCATGATTATCTAAGGCTTGCCACAACATGGCCGTGAGTGTACGCAATATCTGCATGGGATAGGCAAAAAGCACAACATGAAGGAATGTCATGGTGCTCGCGGCAGCAACCTAAGCAGCGGATGGCAGCATCTGCACGAGAAGCAGTCTAGAAATGTGGGGTTCCCGGAATTATGGGTACCTTTTTCGGGTCCCCATAATAAGGCTTATAATATTGCTGGGGATTGGGGTCCCTAATTTGGGGAAACCACCAAATACAAGCGGACAGCGCTTGCGACTGACCAACCAGGCTGCGCGTGGAGTCTTCTTCTGCGAAATTGTGACATCATACACGAGTCTTCAAAAGAACATGAAGAGGAGACTCCAGTGGTCGAGCAGACTCATTCTGCTGGTAGGAACCACGCCTTCAGATACTTGGGACTTAATGCCGAAACATCCTGCGAGCCAGGCAGCTGTGCGTTGCTCCGCACTTGTTCAGCAGAGGCACAGCCAACAGCTATCCTGTCATGGCAATGCACCGACATCTTCACAACTCTGAGTCTAAATGGGCATGGCTTCTTCGTCCAAAAGCCAGATTTCCAGTGTTAAGGCCTCTTCATGGACAAAGTCTGAACAAATACTAGTATAGGAGCTTGCTGTTAACGATTGCGTAGTTTGCACGCATCGAGCCCTGCAGGCCTCTCTACACATGAGGGCAGATATGCGAAGGCCAGCGCGACCGCTGGCAGGCTCAGGTTAAAGGACTTGGCAAGCTCCTCCCAGCGCTTGACCTGAACACAAAACATCAAGACACGATGTGACGCCTGCAGGTTCAGCGGTGCTTGTAGCCTTTCTCGTGACCACTTCTTTTCTTAAGAGGCAAACCTGATCAAGGACCCCCGTATGCTGCCAAGCAAAAGATGCACCTTCTCCGCGGCTTCCTGCGGCACACTACCTGAGGCTAGAAAAAGACATGGAATTTCATGGGTCCCCGTTGTGTCTGGGGTCTTGCTGCCTGAGATTTGGCGGGCTTAAGGTCAGCCCTCGAAACTAGCCTCTCAAGCTCCTGGAGATGGGTTCCTGTTGATAATAGTCTCGCATCTGGGGATATGTTGCTGGACCTTAATGAGGAGTGACCCTAGGGCTTGTTCTTCAAACGGCCACTTCTTCAGGAAGTCCTTGGCAAGTTTTAGGGGCAGACTATTTTTCGCCCACGAAGATCAAGGAACGACTCGACTTCTGAATTGAACCAAGTAGCTTCGATAGAAGTAGAAGCCCTGCCCCCATAAGAGGCCAGCGCAGAACACTGCTGCCAGTTGCACTTTGATGCCTTGAACTGCCAGCGCAAGATGATGGGCTCGTCTCACAAGAAATGCCAGTTGAGGATGTCTCAAACTTGTGGGTCTTTTGTGGGGGCACTGCGACAGGACTGCCAAAACTGGGCGGAATAACGCCCGAGGGCCCTGTGCAAGATCTGCCAAATTCTGTTGGCTCAATGGCTGCCGATCAAGTCTCCACGTTTCTGGCATTCGAGCATCAGCGGGTAAGCCGACTGATCCAGCAGATTCCATCTACCTGCTATCATGATGTTGTCCTGAGCTGGGAGATGTGCACATTGGCTAGAAGCCCTGTGATGCCGTCAGGTCTCGAATGTTCCAACGGGAAACTTCAGCACGGTTTTCCTCAGCTCTTCTATGTTCGATCTAAATAACATCTGCCAAAAGAAAGGGGCTGCCCCTCAAAATATGCTGACATCTCTTTTCCGTCAAGTCTGCTCTCATGCCATGTTCTGTCGCAGGTACTACCATTAGCTTTACCCAAACCAATTTCAAGTGACCTCTCCAAAGCGATGGCCTTCATGAACCAGCCACCCGGCAAACGCATCAATCTTTAAAACATTCCGGGTCTGGGGAGGGGGGTTGCGTTAAGTTAAGATGCTTCCTGTGTTGTCCCCATCTCTAAGTTTGAAGTTTGAGTTTTGGGCCTTGGGGCTTGCTCGCCTGTATCCTTGCCACATGGTTCCCTTTTCGATTTCACATGCAACTTTAGGGAAGAGGTTACATTGGGGTTATATTGGGATAATGGAAAATGAAATGGAAACTACTATAGTATCATAGGGTATATATTTGCCCTAAGCCCTGCATCCTCGTTAGCTTGGAGGTTCGTCCAGCCCTTTCCACAGCATTCAGGGCTTCAAATCTCGATGCAGGAAACATGCTTGTGAATCCCTTTCAATGATTCTTAAGTCAGGTTTTCCCAACGGCAGGCAAGTCGCAGCCTAATGGCTTAATTCTCAAAAACAAAACTCTGGCAGCATCCACCCTTATCGACACTACCCAAAGTGAGACCCCAATATAGACCCCCAAAATACGATACTCCTGATTGTTGTGATCCCCAAACAGGTACCCCCCCCAATTCGAGAAACCTCAGCCGCATAATGCCATGTATAATCCCAGTTTCATTTCATTTTCCATGTTCTTTTACATGATTCTCCATTATTGGGGGTATTTCCCTTTTTGCATCAGGGCCTCATTACTGCCTGGGCAATGACCCTAACCCCTGAACCCTAATCCCTAAACCCTAGACACAAAACCCTAAACCCTCAGTCATGTATGCATCACCAAGGCACATCAGATACTCAGCCTTGTTGAAGCCTTGGATTCGGCTCCGTAATGATTGGCTTGTATATGGGGTTATCAGCCGTTATAGGGGATTATATGCGGTTCTGTAGGGTTACATGGGTTATTTTGGGATTATTTTGGGTTATATGGGGCTATATAGGGTTATCTGGAACCACACCTGCTCTGCCGCACTGTGTGCAGTGACTGCGGGGTAATCATGCATTAGCATGCTGAAAACACATTCCGTGCTGTTCATGCCTCAGCCGAACCTGACAGAGCAGGTTCCTGCAATGGCTGGCAAGACATTGAACGTTTCCTTCCAGTAACAAGCTATGGCAAGCCTCTGGCATAGCCAGAAAGCACTGTAACCAAACGAAAGGGCCACCCCAAAACTCCAGAACCGAGTGCGCAAAACTCACACCTTTCCAAGAACCAGCCTCGCCGCCATGAAGGAAAACAACAACTGCGAGCAACCACGCGATCGACCATGGGTGATTTGATTGCCCTAGACCTTCAAGCCCAAAACTCAACGACCGCTTCTCATGTGCCGAGGCTCCCAAGCTCACTTCTCCGATTTCACCTTCAAGCATGCTGATCTAGGGTGTTTCTGCCACTTGCATGGTTCAGGTTTGCGCAAGGCAAAGGCAGGCTTTGGAGCCAATGTTTCAAATTTAGGGCTCCGTCACTTGCATGACTAGAAGCAACCAACGAATCCGGCAATGTCTCAGGTCGCTGAGTGGGTTGTCACAGGAACTCTCAACCGCACATAAGGAAAGGCAGGCAAGAGAAGGTGGCCACAATTGAGGGTACTCCACAAGCAGCATGTAGCCCAGCAAGCAAAATTGGGGGCAAGCTCACTCACGACAACCCCAAATGATAGCTTCGATTTTTTCATTATCCCTGCATCACATAATATCATGACAACATAATCCCCATATATCTCTATCATCCCAATAGAATCCCCATATAACTTTTGAAGGGACCTGGCATTTGACTCTTCATTAATCGCGAAGCAGAGGACACGTTCTCCCCTTGGCCTCTGCTTCGGAGCGAGACCAGCGTGCTTACGGCCCCATCGGACCCTCAGGGCTTGAAGTGATCAAGTCACAAGATGGGTTTAGGGTTTGAAGGTTTAGAGTTTCGTGGGCTGGGATTTAGAAAGTCATGTTTCAGGTCTGTGCAGAAGTCAACTTCCTGAGTCCTTGGCCGCAGGCTTCCTCCCAACGTTCGTCATCCTCGGCATCATGTACCCGGACGCATTCGATGAAGTGTCCTGAGGCTGGAAGAAGTCAGGAAACCTCGTTGCCCGAACCTGCCTGCCACCTTCCTGCTATAGTAGGCAATTCCCACTCATTAATTGCATCGCAACAAAAATGATTTTGAGGCGTGGAGAACGCAAGCGCTTCCAAAAGCTATTCCAAAACAAGACATTCCGCCAACAAGAGCTGCGTTTGAAACAGGAGCTTGATTGGAGGAATGAGGATACGGTGAAAACTTTAACCCTAGTGTGAAGCAAGCGTGGGTGTCCGGATGTTAATGCCTACTATAGCACTACTACAAATGCTTCGAATCCCAAGAAATGTCATAGGGGGGTGTTCATGTTGATGAACGGTAATGTGCCAAATGTGGATGCCCGCAGGGAGGACTGGCAATCTAGAGAGACCCCCATTCCTTACCTGAGGCACGTGATCCAGAAGTTCCGACAATTCCTTGGCAATGAGACAAATCTTCAAACCCTACGCCCTCAATCCCTCAATCGCAAACCCTAAACTTCGCCCTCAAACGCCAGATCCCTGAACCCAAACAGACATTGCGTGAATCCCCAGGACCACTGAGCAGCTGACTTTGAAGTCTTTGCCTTGATTGCCGGAAGCTCTCCTCCACCCCTTCCTGGTGCAGGTCGAAGGCCCTCATCTCATAAATTGCATGAAATTCCAACCGACTATAGGCTTCTATCCGGGCTTGCATAAAGATGCCAGGGATTATGATAAAACGACGTTGAGGCTTATGGTGGATTTATCGTTTTGGAACGTCCCAAAATTCTACCTGCATGTATGCTTCCCCCCCCAACCTACCGCGGGGAAGTGACGGTGAAAGTTTGCAGAAAATGGACCCCCCCCCACCCCCACTTCATTTATTAAGAATGGTTCCTTTTTGGGCTGCTCGTGCTGTATGGGTATGCAACTGAACCATACCAAGCCCGCAATACATCACGGTTTTGAAAGAGACCCTCTAGTCTCTATAATGATGCAGTTCTGACCCCGGCCCGTCCTTTCGATAATCCCACACGGGGATGTTGTCATGGTATGCGTCGGTATTAAAATCCTTGGACGGCGATGACTTCACAGCTCCGCTCCACACTGTGCACATGCTCTTGCACAGCATCTTTCACGCGCTTGAAGCCTCTTGTAGCCACTAAGGCACATAACCTTTGTCCACGCGAGTCCCATATGCTGCAGACTCCGGCTTTGTCACCATGAAGCCTTACTGCAGAAGTGTCAGAGGAACATGACATCTGGAACCAAGTACACAACCCTTGCATCCTAGGTGCGTCCGACCTTTGTCGCTAAAACTACTTGCTCCTGCAGCTTGTGGGACTTGACTCCAAGAGCAGCACAGCACCAAGCACAGCAAGCAAGCGGCTCCTTGGTGGTGCCTCAGATAAATGGGAAGCATTGCCTACGGACGCTTCCAACTGATGTAACAAGTCTACCGGCCCTCAACGTAGTCACATGTAGTCACTGCATCCCGAAGATACACAACCACGGCTTCCTACATGAATGGCCCTGCCCGTTGCCTGGGGGCCCAGCTGTGAGCAGCAGCTAGTGCTTTGCCAATTCGCTGCTCACAAAGCCCGGCTCCATACCTTCCAACAAAGAAAACATGCCCACATCTAGGCAGCCTCGTCGTAGGTCCGGAGATGCAGCGTTCTACTCTTGCATTCGCGGCCGTACATTGTGCGAGAGTATCCGTAAGCTTTTTGAACACTTTGGCCCTACTTACAGGGTGGGGACTTAGTAAGTATACTTTGCCATAGCGCATTTGACAAGTCCAGTAATCCTAGCCTACTTGCAAAGTTCCCCTGACCCCCAGCCCAAGTAGAAAATACAACGAATGCCGTCACTCATGGAGAGAAATACATGAAGACTGATCACCAGAACATAATGGAGACCAATTGCGATGGACTCCCCCAGAGAGACCTGTCCTTTACTAAGGAATGCAGAAAAGATCTCCGAGTCTGTGTTACTCACCAGGCACTACCCTCATGCATGCAGAGTTGCCACGGAGCCGTGTCCAGGTAACGAATGCCCAACGAAAGAGCCTCGGGATCAGCGCATGGGGAAGATACTACGACCCTGAGCCCTGAAAGCTAGTCCTCAGACCCAAATCTCAAAACTAATTCTGACAACAAATCCCCAATGCCTTAAAACCCGGAAGGTGCCCGTCCTGGAGGATGGTGGCCTCCGCCTCTCCCTCTGACACATCACCTGCCCAACCGCAGCCAAGAGGTGCAGTGCCCAGGATCAGCGCGGATATCGGGACCTGTAAGGAATTCAAGGGATGGAAGGAAAAATGTGCTACAGTACCTTGTTTCCTTTTTCCACCGCTACAAGGCATTGCATGGAAGCCATACACCGACCTTGCCCCATCTTTATGTGCTCTACAAACGTCAGCCTATCAGCCTAGGGTCTCTCGCGAACCTGCATGCGGGGCCCCAATAGGACAGGGACCTGCAAATCGGCCCCTTAACTGCTGGCCGACAACAATTGCACGGTCTTTCTTGAAAAGCCTCTACATAGCTAGGAGCCAACGTCCCGTTCACTGAAAGCACCAGGCCAACCCCGTCCTGCTTGCCAAACCACTTCATGATGGTAACATCAATGTATACATGGAGTCGCGGCTACTTCCCATGGATTCCTTTTGCTTCTGGCTTTGCTTCAGACCAATTTGGTCTCTCCCGTGCGCAAAGCACAGGCCCTTGCACGTTTTCACAGGCTATCAACTGCCACGCTTGCAGCATCAGAGGCACGGAAGAACACAACAACCGGCCAAAGTGGTTCGGCCGGCAAGCCTGAAAACAATGGGCCGAAAGGCTTCAATCCTTCGTAGCACTGCATCGTGCCTTGGTCAATGTCATACAAGATTGCAAGCTTTACTCCCTCATTCCAGTCATCCCGGAGAGAAGTTCTGTATGTGCGCACGGCCCGAGCAGCAACGTTTTTAGTTGCGCCGCCATGGTACAGACCGTAAAAACCCCGGTCGTGCTCAGGATCTCTGCTGAGGTCAACGTCGTCAGTACCAGCACCAATGCCGAAAGCGTATGACCTGTGGTGTACCACAACACGCATCAACACACGACCAGACAACGCCGGACAGTCCGTGGCTGCGTCAAGCGGTTGCCATGGACATCTTCTGAACAAAGCGCCGCATCCCACGCCAGTCTGCTTGAAAGACCCCGGTGACATTGTAATTTTTTGCCCTTGGCACGCTTCCATGTCGAGCGTTGAGACCTCTAATGCGGTGTCTCTGTATGCTATGGCCGGAAAATGTTGAAACTCCACACCCTCGCAACATGCCGCGAGTGGCCCGATGGCCTTGCCAAGAAAACAACCGCGAGACACTATGGCAAGCAAATCACGTGCACCTCCACAAGCTCCTCGAAGCTTAGCCGACCTGGAGCAAGCGAGTGGCTCAACTTCACCTGAAACAACCAGACGCACTTGGTGCATCAGGAGGCCTTTCGCCGTAGCAACGGCTTCGTAACAGTCGTACACTGAAGCCGCGGTACCTAAATCCACCGTAATCTCAGTACCATCCACGGCCAGGATGCGGTAAGCAGCTTGGAATGCTTCATCCTCCCCAGCATCATCCACAGATCGTTGATCATCAGGGGCACGCATTTCTCCCATGTTGGCTTGGCAGCTCGAGGTGGGAAATCGGTGCTTGAAGCTGTGACTTGAACACGGACCGCATCACATGGTTACACATGCCATGCGTATGACAAAGACTGGTCAAACACAAGCATGCGCATGCCGCCTTTCGAACACGGAGCTGCAGAGGGGCCGCTTCCTGCATTGCATGCGCTTTCCACACACGCCAAAATAGTAAGTCTTTCCGAAGACTTTTCCCCGCAATTCTGTTTTTCAGCGATCTTGGCCTTTCGGCTTGTCAAGCCATCCCAGCAAGGACAGCACGCCATGGCTGCTGATTCAAGCTTGCCGCTTAGAGCCAAGGTCGATCCCGCAAACCCGACAAATGAATAGAGAGCATCTGTTTCAAAAACCTTCTCAGTTCCCTGCCAAAGGTTGGACTTGGCATTCCACTTGGTCTGGAAGATGGCCTGCGCGAGCGAAACTGTGGCGTTTTTTTCTTGCCTTGCAACTCTGCACACTTACATCATGGCAGTACCAGGCGCACACGTTTCGACATTTATAAGGTGTGCTCGCCATAATCTAACCTTTGGTTTTATAGGCTGCAATGCCACACGTCACTTGCAATAACTCGTATCATGTTCACACACGCGTGGCCCCTACATGCAGGCTGGGGCGGGATGCTTGGGCATGACAGACCGTACAACATGGGAGGATAAAGCATGCGGCGCCAATGTCTTGGAGTGCGCCTCGGCCCTTTTTAGGGCGTTGTGCTTGCGCCGGGGGGGATAGCTCTTCTTACGAATCAGCCAACCAGGAGCTGTCAGGTACTAGAGTGTGTTGAAAAATTCACGCAAGGTTATGCTTGATGAGTGCTGCTGAGCGCGTGTCCCACCACAACATGAGCCCGAAATGAGCCACAGCAGTATCATGCATCGAAAGCTGTCCATGCTCGGGAAGCCCCTCTCTTCACGTCCCCTCTGTCCGCCATGATGATTTGACATGTGTCCTGAACGCTACTTATTCGACGCCAGCGTGTGTGCAAACCTCCTTCTGGACTTCGGCGTCGTGCGCGATTTCATGCCCAAGTTTCTGTCTGATGCTGTGGTGGATTGGCGGCCACTGCAACAGAAAACGTCGGCAATGTTTACTAGTTGCCCGAAACATTTTTCGGCCCCTGTAAAATTGCGCTATGTGCGGAAAGACTTCCGTTACGTTTTCCACATTTGATTTTCCATGTTTGGGGTCATTTGATTTTCCGTGTTTGGGGTCGTCCCAATTACCGTCCAAAATTTGAGGGCCTTGTTAGTGAGGTATGTGGAACACCCACTGTGAACCCAAAAATTATAGCCCCGCATATTTGCAGGTCGAAGCGTATGTATTTTGACGATTTTTGTTGTTGTGGCCTGCTGGGCTGTAATGATTAAATTCGAAACAGGTTGGTTTAATAAGTTAAGAAATGGTGACACTTCGGGCTCAACCTTTTCGCCGCGCGACGCTGTTGCCGACCATAGCATCTTTGCCTGCGACCTCCGAGGTGATCCAAGGTGAATTGTTGTTGAACTGATTGCGGTGGCGCGCCGCTGCCGTGGGGGCTTGGGCTGGGGTCGACGGTTCAGGAGCACCACCAGACTGACGCGGGCATCCTGGGCGGACACGCTGCGGTCACGCTGGCGGTGCTAGACTGGTCCGCCGCTATTGGACGGGGCTGCGGCCAATACGCCCCCGAGCGCATGAACGAGCGCAAGCTGAGCAGCATCTGCGCGTTTGCAGGGCTTCGACGCGCCTCCTTGCGTAAAGCTCCTGAAAAGGGATGAAGCCGTTGCCACACCACGGTCGCAGAGGGCTGGCGGCCTCAGCTGGCCGGGATGGCAACTGGCGGCGGGAGCTTCCCTGCACATGCGCGTGCTGGAAACACCGTTCGCAAACCTTGACCCTGCGTCTCGGGCGCTGCTCGGAAGCACGCAGATGCAAGGTCGCGGGAGCGCGGTTAACAACAAACGGGGCCTTATACGGGAAACTGAATCCCAACGTGCCGGCGGCGGGCGGGCGCCGGATTAAGGCGGTGCTTGCGTGGCTATGGACCGTCCGTGCCCGCCGACCCTCTGGATGGCCAGGGGGTCCCGTTGGGCGACTTCTTGCCGGGCGGAATGCTTCTGACACACTGAGCCGGTTAGCTGCGGCTTTTCAAAATCACACACAAAGGACACCTTGCGCAGCCGGAAAAAGGTTGGAATTGCCACCACCGAGCCTTGATGCGAGCAGCGGCACCAAGCCGCCACTGGATGAATTGCTGGTGGGCGCACGTGCCATCCGATGTGCGCCTGCCCACCCTTGCGGGGCCGCGAGGTGAGTGCACCGGCCGCAGGCAGCTGCGCAGAGCCAGAGGTGTTGTTGCTGATTGACCGGGTCCGCTTGCGCAAATGGAAGGGTTTTTATGTTTCGCACTTTTTTTTGGCCTGCCGGGTCCAAAGCGTGCGAAACGCTGTCAGCAAACCCTGATGTCCCTCATGGGCTCAAAAACCCCAGCCCCGGCCAAGAGATCATCCAACCGCATTTCTGGCCAGCAGTTTCAGTAGCACGCATGCGCCTGCAGGCCGGCGAAGGACGCGAGCGCCGTCCGCCTTTTGTACAATGCCCGCCCGGTGACTTCCGACGCCCACGGTGCCCGTTGTCTGGCCCTCACGCAAGTAAGCGGAGGCGCCGCTATACTGATCCGCCTGCCGATGTGCATGGACAGGACGACCAAGCGGCATCTCGCCCGCCCGGGCCCAAGAGTTCAGGATGGGCGTGGTGCTTGCGCGCATCTGCGTGGGGTTGCGGCTGCCCGTTCCTCTGTGAGGGGCTGACCAGCTTCGTATCGACCGCAGTTTGGGCTCCTCGCCACACGTGCCGGCCGTTTGCGACGACTTCGATCGCCGCCCATCGGTCGCGGGGGCATCCAGGTTCATACCACGCAGCCCGACATGGGTTGCCACCCTTGCCCGATGGAAAAAATGTGCAACAAAAAACGAGCGTGTTGCGAGCGCCCACCTACCTCGAGGCCCAAGCTCCGGTTACGCCAACGCCCTTGACAGCTTTCACCTGGGCGAAAAAAGAACTACAGCTGGAGTCGCCCGGGGGCCTGAATTAGAACTTGGGCCTCGAAGCCCCAACCTTCAACATCAGCTTTCATCATTCTCCATCATTTTCCTTTTTCATCAGCTTCATACTTTTCATGATTTTCACATTTTTTCCCTCCCGCACCGCCGAAAATCATGATTCCTCATAGTTTTGTACATTTTTCTTGTTCTTTCATTATGCTTGATGATTTGTCATCATGGTTCATCATTTCTCATCATTTTGCATCACGTTCTTCATTTTGTTTTTTACTTATTATGTTTGATTTTGGTTTTATCACGTTGTATCCGTTTTCATCATCTTCATCATTTCCTTGACCGGCCCTTCAGCGACAGCCTGTTGCATGAGCTCGCCAGCACCACCACTACCATGGGGGTTCTTTTAGGAGGGGGGGGAGGACACCCCCCCAAGTACTTTTACAGCCGGTTCCGGAAGAAAAGAACCTGATTTCTCTGGCATTTTGACAACCCGTAACACGGTACTAGGCACCCCCCCAAGGACATTTTGCCTGTATGAACACGTTGCAAGAAACAGCGGACGCCGGGATGGCCCTAGAGTGGGTGCATGCACTGGTTTAGACTCCTAGCCCATGGCCCTAGAGTAGGTGTATACGCTATACAGCATGTA